ACCAGCTCTGTATGGTAAAAAATACTGTTTAAAATTAAGAACAGGTATGTAAACTGAGCAGCCAAACAGGGTTACGTTACAACACATGGTTCATCAACTGGGTAGGACGCTGACTTTTTGCCTGAAAAATTTAGCTTTAGGCTCAATCTTTTAGCCCATTATCATGTACAGTAAGTAACCATTAAATGCACATCTAAGACCCATTTTACAAGATGAGTCAACAGGAGTTGATAGTTGAAAGAGCCAGTTGTGTTATTTAACCAAACCAAAAATCTGCTAATGACAGCAAAATTTTACACAGCAAAATTAATGGACACCAGAGAGTAAAGTTGCTTACTCTCTCAAATAATTTTGAGTGGTAAATCTGCAATTGTTTGTAAATTACATGTGCCACATGAGTTCAGAAATTAACAGGCCTAGCAACAGTAACTATGGGAAGCAGGACTCAGGGAACGGTCAGTTATGACCACAATATAACCATTTTATAGGTAAAATTGCTCTTCAGTTGTGGAATGTAACTAAGTAAAGTACTGTACTTAAGTACAATTTTGAGTTATTTGTACTTGAGTATTTCCATTTAATGCTACTTTATACTTCTACTCCACTAGATTTCAGAGAGAACTATGGTATTTTTTACGGCACTACATTTGTTAACAGCTTTAGTTACTGGTTACTTATCTGAGTCAGATTATTCATTCAAAATATTAATCAACTAGTAAGTTATGCACTGTTATAAATTAAGATGCTCAGCAGTATAAAGTAGTTGAAATGAGCCTCACCTTTACATGCATCAACATCAGTGATGCTTTACACATTAACACATCACTAATTGCTTCACCCAGTGATATGTATTGTTCTGCATAATTAGTACTTTAAGTATATTTTGATGGTAATACCTGTGTGCTTTTACTTGAGTGAGGTTTTGAGTGCTGGACTTTTACTTGTAACAAAGTGTTTTTACACTGTGGTATTGCTACTGAGTAAAAGATCTGAGTATGTCTTACTGGTGTGGAAGACAAAGTATGTGTAGGCGACACTGTTTCTAAACAACCTCAAATCAATTTTGGCATTTTTGTACTGGCTCTACTTTAAGCAAGTGAACTTGTGTACACTATAATCTCTTAACTCTCCGGACGGAACAGTGAAACTGATGAATGTCTTTAGCTACTGTAGGGGCTGTTTTTTCACACCTCAACGCCCAAGCTTTTTACCAACACGTTTTTCCATACCATGTGTCATTGAATAGCTTTTGTTTTTTATTCTGTGCTGGCAGCTTTTGTCTCTTGTCCTACAGTGTGTACCTGAGCATTTCCATGAGTCTGTGTGTTATTTAATAAACGTGTAGTACTTGCTGTGCTTGCAGGACAACACATACCAGGGGGACATTTCTTGCAGCACAGGTTAGAATCATCTGAGAAGTACTCTGTTACTTTGTTGAGACAGCTTCCCTCTGAGTCTGGTTGATAGGGTTGAGAGCAGACCTATGGGGAAGAGAGACAAAACTTAAGAGCAACTCATCTTTGGCTGTTCAGATGAGCATAGTAAAGACTGAAGAATATAAAAGTATGTTCTCGTAACCCTCTGACATACATGAGCTGTATTGAGATGGTGAAGTTGGGGGGCCTTGAGCTTCAAGGTGAGTATAGTAATTTTGAAATGACTTGTGTGGAAAATATTTGCAGCCCACTTTTGTATCAGCCGGACGTCTTCTTTGAAATGCACCTGCTCTGAGGTAAATCAATAGTCAACCAATCAGTAAAGATAGTAATTATAAAATCAACAATTTAGTCATTGGCTGACAGGGGAAATGGACAAGGTGACCAATGACTGGCTTTTCAGCTCAGGAGCTTAAAGTAGAACCAGACCACCTACACCTGTGCCCACCTTTTCCCTTCTGGTAATGCTTCTGGCCTGAGCTGCAGACAGTCTAACAGGCAGGCATTGTTCTGAATTTGTAGGAGGTGCACAGTATCTCTCCTCTTTGCGGGGCCCTCCCAGAATGCATGCATGCATCTATGCAGTAATCTCTCTCACACGTAGCAAAATATCGCAAATACAGCTACTAGAACCACAGTATTTGTGTGCTGAGAAGTCGTGACACAGTTCCTGACACACCTGTCCTGTGCAAGAATTGTAAGCCTCTTACCACAGTGCCCTCCAATGACAAGCAAAAGTTAGAAAATGCTGACAGTAGCAATCAGTTTCTCGTATTACAGGAAACAGAGGCGGCAACCTAGAAGCCCTCGGTTCAGAAGCACATACTTCTTATGTGGTGAGACCACTGGTAACATGAGATGTAGCGATAAAGATAAACAGCAGTGTCGCTTTGCGTTATTATTCACAGTTCATGGACAAGAACATTCAGTTTTTTTTTCTTTTTGTACTTGCTCAACTTCTTTAACAGGAATGCACAGTGATACTGGAAGATAGTAGAAAGGCATACTGCATCATTTCATTACCTTGTGTCTGAACAATGGGACATTCAGTCTGAAAATGCATCAGATGCCAAGCATCCGAAACCAAATATTCATACAGGTTCACCACACAACAGCTAGGTGTTAATTTTCTACAGTGAAACTTTCTACTGTAATGTAACATTGTCACGCTAAGGACTAAACTATCAGGTACTGTTACAGAAAAAGAGTTAAGAGAAAGTTTTAAAAGAAATAAGAAATTCTGCCTTTGCGTTGGCTCCATGACAAAGTTGAGTTATGACACAAAAAACAATTTTACACACTTTCAAATGCTGATTTTGAAAGTGTTTAACTTCACAAACCTTGAATTAATCCAAGTGAAACCTAAACTCACTATTCACATTTTGTTTAAGCAGTACGTTAGTCGGTGGACGAACGCTGGCTGATATCCAACCTGTCCAGAGTTCCTTGACGGCGCAAACATGCATGACAAAACTCACAGATGACAGACACGCATAAAGCCTACCTTGATGGTTTGAGCATTCAGCAGAAACAGCAGTACAAGTATGTCCTTCATTGCTTCTTTAAAACAAATTATAGAGTGTAGAGAATACGGCTACCAGTGTGTGGTCTGTACTGATCATTGTATGAAGGCGGGCCGGCAGTCTGTGGAAGGAGCAATTTCCTTGAACTGAGCTGTGAGTGTTTGGAGGAAGGAAACAAGCAGGCAGGCTCTAACCTACATTTACTGATGTGATGTGAATACCCATAATGAGGTTGGACTGAGTATATACAAGGTTGATAACTTCTTGATTTGACTTTTTGTCTGATCTATTGTGTATATACAGCATGAAAATACTATGAATGTTTGATCTGCAGCGGATTAAAAGAAAGATGAAGTGTCTTTAAAAAGTATTCACACCCACTCAGAAGTTTTCAGTTGTTGTTTTACGACTTTGAATCCAAGTGACCCAAAGTTCAATTTACTTTTGTGACACAGATGGACAGAAAATAGATCTTTACAAAGGAATCTACTTCACCTCCTTTAACAGGACGCATCTAAATCATCACTGGGGCCCCCAGCTGTTTTTGTAGTCACATAATTAATTAAGCAATTAAGTTAAATGGAGATCAACTATTAGGTTCTTAAATCTTTTCAATCTAAGGCTAATAACCTGGTCTCATATCCATAACAATACAAATTATTATATTATTCACAAATGAACTTGAATAGTATGAAGTCTGCTGAAAAATTTAATTTTGTCAAAAAATGAAATATCTCTTAGTCTCTTCCAAAACCAGAAGTGGATGCTTAGATTTTCTCTTCGTGTTTATGTACAGTCAAGCAATTGTTTTAGTTATCGCAGAGTTTGAAACAGGATGTTGATAGGATTTACTTTGTTTTTGTCAAGAAGAACTGATACTGTTTGGTTTCTGTCCTGCAGCATATTGTTAATACATTATATTAGATGATAAAGGTATTGTTGTCCACTTTTGTGAACCAGAGACCCAGGTTAAGCTCTCTGTGACACAGTAATAAAGTCAAACAAAGGCAAAAAGGTTTATTATAAAAAAATAAAATAAATTTCATATGGCGTTTCTCTAAATACCAAAATCCAGCCAGAATAATTTCCCAACAAGCACATCTTAAGAAAATATTTACGACTAGACGCAGTCTGAACCTTCCCTCAGGTCAATTCCCCTTTTTGTGTTATTTACCCAAAAATTTACCAGTGATTCAGCTATTTTACATGTACATTTCTGTACCACAATTTTATTCTACCTACAGTATACTACTGACTAGTAGCAGTACTGTACACACCGATGTCTTGCCCAGATGAATGCCCCTGTGTTTAGTTTGTTCCTGTGTGAGAAGTTTGACATTTCACCATAAAGTTTCCCCTCCCACATCCTCAGCATATCTCTGGTATAGCAGAAACAGCTCCGTCACCCATTGTGGTATTGTTTTGTTTTCTCAAAAATCACTTATATCATGTAATTTCAAGGCAATTTTTAATTTAACACCTTAAAAACGTGACTAGCAGAAGTGAATCTTGTTTAAAGCACCAAAGCGGCATTTTTCCCCCATGTTTGGCCGACTGCACTGATCTTGGATACTGTACTTTATTGCTGAGTTAGTTCCGAAAGCAGAACAAAGATTTGAAAATGATAGACTTGAAACCCGCTTCAGTATGAATATGCTGTCTGGTTGAATTTTTGCTTGTTACAACCATCAATTCTCATGTGTGGTAATGCAGTGCAGCTTTTCATAATCAGTCTGTTTTTCGACTGTGATGAACCAAAAAATTACAATGTACGTCTGAAATGCAGGCCTGATGTTTGCAGTGATGTCTTTTTGGTGTCAAGCAAGTTTCAAATCCTGTTTTTTCCATACTGTGTAAAATGGAAACCTGTGTCTTCCTGAAGTTAGAAAACTACATTAAACTGGCCTTTGTGATTTGAAGGAGGTCATGGTCTTTATCAGAAGACAGTGAAGTAAATCACCAATTTGAAATGGTTGATTTCCCTTTGATAAATACCTCAAAAAATGGTCTGTCTGAAAAAACATCACTGACTTCAGCTTGCTGAGTGTTGGATTAGTTTACTGACAAAGCCCTTTCGGTAGGATGTTGTAGTTTCAGGTCAACTTTTCATCCTTAGTTGTCCAATGAAAATGAGCAGCGAATGAAAACACGTAGAGAACTGAAGGAGAGAAGGAAGATATGATGATAGAATGTGCTTCCGAAGCATTTTTTCCCCTCAACAACTGTTTGTGGTGAAAAATCAAATGTGGTATCTCAAAGCCTCCTCTTACACAAAGCTTCACTCGTACTCTTGTGTCATGGCTTCCCAGTTCAAAGATTAAGATCAGCAGTCTGCCTGCCAGTTAAACGCATTGCTTTGAACAAGCCGGTACAAAACATCAAAGTATTGCAGCTTCAACAAACAAAAAAAACAACACATAGATGTATTCCTGTTGAACTTGAATCACAACTAAGAGTAACAATACAATTACATTTCCTTTACTTTGACTTCATTTGATTGGTTGTTTTTGTTGATTTCATTTAAAAAGCCCTGGTACATTTACATTTACATAGTAAACTAACTTTGTGTCATAGGTGGGACTGCTACAGTATTTGACATTAAATATAGGTGGTTGTGGTTTCCTGTGAACCTTTCTAATGTACAATGGCCTCAGCCTTTGTGTTTTACAGCGTGTTCAGCCTCATAGTAAGGAAGTGTCAAAGGAAGTCAAAAACAGAAGTATGTGTGAACCTAGGAGCCAAAGCAAACAACTGGAAAGGGAAACACAAACTGGTGCCTGAGCAACAGATTATTCAAAACGTCTTTCATGTTGCGAAATTGTCGAGGCAAACTCGAAATGTAACTTTTGCTATGGGATCCTAAAACAGTCTGCATGTGTTAGAGGTCTTCCCTTTCTACTATGGCGTAAGGTCATCTCTTGCTTCATGTCCACAAGGCCACAAGACAGTCACATGAAGTGTTTAATTTAGATGAGAAATGACGAACATATAAAATGCAGCTCCTGCAAACGTGGAATATGCTGCTCTGTCAGTAAATGATTCCCATTTCATTAAGTTTCATTAATTATGTTTTTTTTCACACTATGTTTAAATGATAGACAGAAAACAATATAACATGTGTCATATCAACTTATTACATTCTTGAAAACAATTATCTCATTCATCTTTTTTAAGATAATGCATTCTCTATTTAGATCATAATATCATAATAGTGAAAGAACACATTACTAAAAATCAGTACAGTTACTTGAAACATGAGCATTAAAAAAAGGAAATAGTTTTTTGGGGGTGTCAGATATCTCACAGGAACTACTAAACCAGTGCAAAGGGTAGTTTTCCTTTAGGAGAGAAGTGCTTGAAGTTGTGACGAGCCAGGCGGGACACATCTGAGAGCTGGTCAGAGATCTGGTTCCCGGACACTTTTGGCGCAGAGAGATCCTGAAAAATAACATAATTACGCCATGTGCAGTATGTCCTCACAGGATTCAACATCGATCTTTTTCTTTGCCATCGTACACTACAATCATTTGTTTTTAGATTCCTACACAGTGTTTTGTGTCATAGGTGTATATAATAACATAATAACATTGATGACGGCTGCATTCCATTTACACAAGCCAGTTCCAGGGTTTTGTTATTGTGCAAGCTGGTTCATGGTCATTGCTTGCTCGTTCCACCTGTGCTTTTCCTGTTATGATAAGTCAAAATGTCTGCTGTTTTTTGTTTAGACACAGTGGAAAGCCTGCAGTGTCTCACCTCCAGGTCCTCATTCTGTGACCCGCTGGAGTTCTTTGTATCCACACTGCTCCGCAGATCGAGGCTGCTGGGTGGCGGCAGCGTGCTCTGACCTTTGTTGGACCATCCTGAGAGACAGTGCTGGACAACAATAATAAATAAAAATAATTACTTTAAACATACAGATGTTGGCACAATATGTACAGATCACATTTGGGGAAAATATCACAGCTTAATGGTCATAAATTGTCTCCCTAATTCTAACGCTTACTCACCGACGGTAACCCCAAACTATCAGAGGGGTCAAAACTGCATCGGCGATGAGCTTTGTATTTGTAAGGCGGCAAGAGGGCGGAGCGAGGGATGCTGACCCTTACAAATAAAAACAAAACAAAAAGGAAATTCAGGAGACAACATACATGTTGCTACAGTGGCAAAACAAGATGATTTGAATATAATTTAAAGGACCGGTGTGTAGGATTCAGTGGCATCTAGTGGTGAAGTTGCAGATTACAACTAAGTACCGTGCAGCTTTTTAATTGTGTAGGAGACACAACGTTGGCCATGAACAAAAAACATGAAAAGGCCCTATCTAGAGCCAGTGTTTGGTTTGTCCGTTCTGGGCTACTGTAGAAAAGGCGGTTCAACATGGCGGACTCCATAGAAGAGGACCCGCTCCCTCTGGAGATAAAAATTACTCATTCTAAGGTACCAAAAACACAACGATTATTATTTTCAGGTGATTATACACAGATGAAAACACATCTACAGTATCAATATCTATCTCATTTCTGCCAATACATCCTCCTGAATGTTACACACTGGGCCTTTAAGCTCGACAATAAATACTGAGTGTAAGGGTTATCTCTTAAACATGAAAATAAAATTCAATGAAAGTCTTTTCATCTCCTTTTAAGCCCTAACTAACCACTTTCAGCAGGAATTCTCAATCACTCTTGCTTTTTGAGTGAGAGTGAGAGGACTGATAATAACACATAAGTCAAAAAGGGAGTATGTATGTAAATACATGGGACTTTTGCTGAACTGTTATCACTAGTAGAAACTTGTTCTCGTGTTAGTGGTGACTCCTGGGAAACCAACTGTCTTGGTACAAATGCCTTTTAATTGGCTATAATGTGTTTAAAGGAACACACACTGATACTGTAGGTACTGTTATTGGACAGCGACATTCACAGATATACAAGTAAAGCCAGGAACAGGACTTGTTTCAGACTGTAATAAAATAGCACAGTGTAAAAGGTGTCAGCTGCACCCAAGGGCTCCATCGTCTTCTGGGTTCATCAAGCAGGGAGCATATCCAATTAAAAATATCTGTCGGCCAGTGCCAATCAAGTGCTCTGTTGTTCATAAGTGGTCGTAAAAGGCAGTCAAAGTGCAAATCATCATTACCTGGTGAGAGCTGGGTCAGCCGCAGTGTGAGAGTGGGTGGATTTATGCTTTTTGCACACTGGGCAGCACTCTTGAAAGTGAAGTGGGACGGGGAACAGTCTGCTGTTAATCCTGTAAGAGAATGTACCTGAACAAAAGGCGAGCAAGCGGGGATGAGAATAACTTCAAGAAAAATGAGAGCAGCCAATCCACATAAATAACCCTTCCTTACATTGATGAGTATCTGTGTTAGCCTCCGGACTGTCCTTGTCTGTTAGCAGTGGCAGGACTGAAGGGTTCTCCTCAGAAAATCTATGAGGAGAGCCAATGAATAGTAGTTTAATGAAGCCATCATCAATCACAGCAAAAATGGACACACATAATCAGTCCCAAGGGCAATCAAGTGTGAAGCACTCACCCCGCCTGTGTGCTGTGGACACACTCGTCCTTATTGAGCGAACGAAACGTGCGCAGGTCATTGAAGAACTCGTCAGAGCGCTCAATCAAGGAGTCCTCAGCATCCAAGACTCCTTAGAGGGCACAAACGTCACCGGTTAGAGCTCCATTAGATTATTATGAATATAAGACAGAAATAGGCAAACAGAGAGACCAATGTGTCATACCTGCTATCCAGTCATACCCGAGTAAAGGCTGCAAGTGGTGCCTGTCTGAGGCAGGTGTCTCACTGAATTCATCTGACTCAAATGTGACCCGATTATGTGCCTCCCTCTACAAAAACAAACAAGTGGTGCAGAGTGTTAGTGGTCAGTGTGAGGGAAATGATGCCTATCACACAAACAGCTATGTTTGAATATCTTCATTGCATGTACAGTGTAATTATGTTTAAATTCTTATTCTATTCTGACTCTCGTATCATGTTACCTTCACCCAAATGAACCCTAGCCTGATTGTTTCCAGAGTATCATAAATATAATATACACTATATGGACAAGAGTATTTGGTCACACCTGTTAATTATTGAATTCAGATGTTTCAATCAGATCCTTTGCCACAGGTGTATAAAGTCAAGCACCTAGCCATGCAGTCTCCATTTGCAAACATTTGTGATGCAAAATGGGTCGTTCTGAAGAGCTCAGTGACTTCAAGCGTGGTACTGTGATAGGATGCCACCTCTGCAATAAGATTGTTCGTGAAATCACAGAGTGGGGTCAACGACTGCTAAGGCACATGGTACGTAAAAGTCGCCAACGCTCTGCTGATTCCATAGCTGAAGAGTTCTGAACTTTCACTGGCATTAATGTGAGCACAAAAACTGTGCGGCGGGAGCTTCATGGAATGGGTTTCCATGGCTGAGCAGCTGCATGCAAACCTTACATCACCAAGTCCAATGCCAAGCGTTGAATGGAGCGGCGTAAAGCGTATCGTCACTGGACTGTGGAGCAGTAGAAAAGTGTTCTGTGGAGTGACGAATCAAGCTTCTCTGTTTGGCAGTCAAATGGTCGAGTCTGGGTTTGGCTGATGCCGGGAGAACGTTACCTGCCTGACTGCGTTGTGCCAACTGTGAAGTTTGGTGGAGGAGGGATAATGGTACAGGGCTGTTTGTCAGGGTTTGGGCTAGGCCCCTTATCTCCAGCTATGTTACTGCTTCAGCATACCAAGACATTTTGGACAATGCTACGTTTCCAACTTTGTGGCAACAGTTTGGGGAAGGCCCTTTTCTGTTTCAACATGACTGTGCCCCAGCGCACAAAGCAAGGTCCATAAATACATGGTTTGATCATTTCGGTGTTGAAGAACTTGACTGGCCCACACAGAGCCCTGACCTCAACCCCATCGAGCACCTTTGGGATGAACTGGAACGGAGATCAAGCCAGGCCTTCTCGTCCAACACCAGTGCCTGACCTCATAAGTGCTCTACAAAATAAATGGGCACAAATTCCCACAGAAACACTCTAAAATCTTGTGGAAAGCCTTCCAAGAAGAGTGGAAGCTTTTATAGCTGCAAAAGGGGGACCAACTCCACATTAAAGTATATGTATAGGTATGTCATTACAGTCCCTGTTGGTATGGCTGAATACTTTTGTCAAGTGTTCATGGTGTGTATGGGACTAAAAGGTTGTGCTGGGACACAATGGTGCCTCAGAGAGAGATCGTTAGTCCTGTTTACACATTCACAAATAAGACGAGGTTGGGCTTGTGAAAATATTGGAGAAAGGTCAGCACAGATAGTGATGCAGGGGGACAGCCCTGGCCAGAGAAATTATCAACAAAACCATGCTCTGAGCATACTGTAAGAGACTGAAGAGATTACTTATTTCTTTAAGTCAACCAGTTTGTACAATGTGGCTTACGTAATGCAATAACTTGAGGTTTAGGGAACAAGATTAAGGTAGTGTTGCTCAGCATTGTACAGCAATTTTTTTATAACAGACAATCTTGAGTAGACCGTCCTCGGTTCCCTTTCTTACCTGTTTTTTGCTGTGATTTACTAAACAGGACTTGGAGCTGGCTGGCCTTGTATCCTGCATCCTGATGTGGACTCCTGTATGTCGGCCGTTGTCTTTGAAAAGGTGTGATGGTGTGGTATGTTCAGCTGTCCCTCCTCTGTGCTGGATGCCCGTTTGTCCCTCACATGTATCTGATGGGAGACATGGACAGAAAGATTTCTCCACCAAGTAATGATTGCAACATGAAAAGATCAGAGCACAAAAATACCATTCAAAATAGAAAGTAAAATCCCCCCCCAAAAAAAACAAAAAAACCCAAATTGCTATTACTAGCTTTTTCTGGGGGTTTCTACAGCATTCATTACGTGAGTCATCTGAGCTATCTCTATTAGTACAACAGTAGCTTGTACTCTTCCCACTGACATACAGTTGACAGCTTGAGAAGAAACTAGTTAGTGGATCTTAAATGAACTGTTCACAAAGAACTTTACAATTAATTACATTTATATACCGGCTTTAGGGCTGCACGATATGGTAACAAAGTCATATTGCGATTATGTTTGACAGATATTGCGATATGATTGTTTTCTATGTATTTATGCCAGGACATTATAATGCTGCTGGCACACATTGTACCTTTATTAAACTGGATATTGCACTTGGCCATATTGTGATTTCGATAATATTTCGATTAACTGTGCAGCCCCACCTGCATTTAGTCGAAGTTAAACTTTGTTATGAACCTTCGCGTTAGACAAAGCTTTGCCTAACGTTAAATATAACCAAGCTTTGTGTTTAATGTGTCTGGCACATGACAAAACAGCTTCTACCTACTGGTTAGCTAATGGCAGAGATTTAATAAGATAATAAAATGAGGACATCTTGGCACGGCCTGAGAAAAGTCTTATCTCGTTGCTAACTTAGCTTGCGGACTCTCGTGTGTTTAGCCTCATGTAAACACACAGTTTCATTACCCCAAAATCTCACGGTAGGTCTGGCGAGGGCTGCCCTGGTCGGACGGCGGTCTCCATCGGTCAGGCTCTCCTCTTCCTCGGCCTCTCTCTCCCTCTTGCGGCTCTGACTGCAGCCGCTCAGCCGCTCCAGTTTCTCCCTCTGCTGCTTCAACTGGTTCAATAAATCTTTGTTACGCTCTCGTAAAACGTCCAGTCGGTCAGTGACTGACATTTTCTTTCCAATTAAACCTAATTAAACCACGTTAAAATAAGGTTTTAGCAGCGAAAGTTTCAGACTCTTTTGTGATTTAAACCAGACTCCAGCAGCTCCATAACAACGCGTTGACAACAATGATGTGATTGGCTGTGAAACTTCTACCCGTCATGCTTTGCGACAGTCCGAGTTTTTTTCCCCTTAAAGTGACAGACACATATTTTATTTAAGCGACATGAACAACAGAGGGCGCTGTTTACTAAAGTAGTGACACTGGTGAATCAGTACAGATAATACAGATTATGTGTATAAACCGATGTTGCTTTTGGTCTTTCAGTGGAATTTACTGACAGTAACAATAACAAACAATATTTCCAGCCTTAATATATAAAGCTGTAAGTTCAGAGCTGCAGTCAAATAATATTTTCAGATACACGTAGTGAAACGTGCCAAAATTGCACTTTGTGTATTCGTTTCTTGTGATTTTATCAGCTGTGCATACTAACAGAAAATGGAGCAACCCATTATCGTTTTAATTTGTAACCATGGATCATTATCATTATCATTATGTCAGATGATGATGAGGTTTTGTAGTAAAATCAGAATCTGGGGAGTAAACTACAGCTGTTTAAGAAATGTAGTAGAGTAAAAAGTAGGCTACAGTATTTTCCTCTGAAATTGTAAAGAATTTTAGAGTAGAAGGGATAAATTACCTCAAAATGTTTGTACTTACTCAACTATTTTTCACCATTGGTTAATAAGGAGAACCACTGTTAAAAATAAGGATCTGAAGACATAAGAAACCTTCAAAGCCTAGTTGAGCCTATAAACTGCGCCGCTACGGCCCGAGAGCACGGGGACAAAATACTCCCAAGGAAACCATATTAGGTAAAATGAAGGAATAACAATAAGGACAGGCAGTTCAAAGAGGAAACTCCTACAAGGACAGCTCCGAGAGATGCCAGGACAAACCTGAACCCAGGAGTAACATGAAAGTATGAACACATATCAAGTCAGCAAGGTTTACAGCAACAACCTTTATGCCATATATTTACAATTCAAGCTCACAGAGTACAGATGGAAATCAGTTAGTAGCGAAATGTGATACAAAGCATTTTGTCTCTTTTTTGAGATTAATGTATTTTATCCCTGATATAAATACATGAAATAAGCTAAACAATTTAATTTAACGATCAGTTTAGGTTAAAATTGCAAGAGTCTTATGAGGACAACTATCTAAAGTCATATTTGCTGATAGAGTTACAGTATGTAGTGACAGACTCTATACTACTACGAGACAACATTGCCAGAAAGCTTCTAAAATCCACTTCAGGGTCTGACATCCTCCTGAGAGGACGAAGGTCACATGAGAAAGAACTCAGACTTGAACATCTTGAAATGTCAGATGGGGAGTTCACCAATCCCACACACACAAACCTTTAAATGACAGCAGATCTTAGATGGTGGCATTAAATTTACATTTTACCTTTTGTCAGTGCAGCCTTTTGAATTTTACTGTATGTTTATATGTGTCACATCTGATATTTTAATTAAAAACCTGGATTCATTTGTTGTTTTTGGGCACTTGTGTGCAGCGTAACCTTCAATACCAAACACTAACAAACTGTACATACTTTTAGTTTATGAAGCTGTGCGTTTATTTACACATTCAGCAGACACAACATTATCATTCATTTGGAGTCAAGTTTTAAATCAACCTGATGTATGTAAGTCCAATATCCCATCACCTTTCAGCTTTGTTTTAGATTCTTTTAGGAAATATCTGGCTCTTTATCTGCTAAGTGCTACAGACTAATGTTCATTGCTAACTTTTTTCTGTTAGTTGCAAACATTTTTGACTTGTCGTTTGGTGCTGGGCAGGTAGTGCCACTGCGTTCGGGTTACCAGTCTTGGACTTAAGGTGTTTTTTTTTTTGTTGTCTCTGGCCTTTCTTGGACTCGTTGTTATTTGCACATTGGTCTGACCAAATATTCTAGTCTTGACCAAGTCCAGCAATATATTAGTCTTTTTTTTTTTGTCTGAATTAACTTCCTCCTACAAAAGAAAACCATTGTTGTTGTTCAGAAAACCGGTATTGGTAATTCAGAATCCATCAAGAATGGGGATTGTCACCTGGTAACCATGGTTACCTGTCAATGTCACTTGCAATCATATGCCTGGCTGCCAAATCTCATCTCACTGCCAATGGCAAAAACAGCATTTTTTTTTTTCTGTCTCGGTCTTGACTCAGTCTCTCTTGTTTGGACTCGGTCTTGACTTGGTCTCAAATAGTCCTGGTCTTGGACTGAAAGGTGGTCTTGACGACAGCACTGGGGTAGTGCACAGTCTGGAAATGAGGGTGATGAGAGTTGTGAGACTGAACCACAGCAGTCAGGTTGTGGGCTGTAAAACCAAAAACAATGAGCCAATAGATGCTAACACTCTCCATATAGAGCTGAGGGGACCAGCAGAGTTGGGTGATAATTCTCCTTCAGTATTACACATAGTTATTTTATCCTCTGCTAAAAATATTTATTAGTGCAGCTGTAAAAACTGAACAGAAATTGAAAATCAATAACTGAACACATCCATAACTGAAAATATAAGGATAGATTTATCTTAGTTTACACACATACTTACTGTAAATTGTATTCTAAATTTGTTTACTTTGTTTAATAACAGCCAGCACAGAGAGTTTTGTATGTAATATCTTCATCTGAACTTCTTGATAGCTTGTAGAGCTAAATCTGCACATTCTGCACATGTCGCAGTTGTTAGTTGAATGTATTTGATCAGTTGAATGCATCTGATATGTTTACTTCAGCAGCTCCCTCTCCCCCCATTCTACTTTTGGCCTTACTTTCTTTTAGTTTCCTAACTACTTAGCACTGTATTTATTCTGTAAATAGGACTAACAGTGTAGTTGGTTTTAGTATAGATTTTTACCTAGTTATCTTAGTTTAGTTTTTTAACACTGCACAGGAAAGTGGATACCGCATTTGAATTTCCCCAATGGGCGTTCAATAAAGAAATATCTTATCTTATGCAGAGATAATAGTAGAACCACGTAAAGTCGTGATTTCCTGCTGATTCCCTCTGTTAAATATATGTTTTCTTTAAGTTAAGATATAAGATAAACATGTTGATTTTGTCCCCAACTGTATTGTTTTTCAAGGACAACCTGTGCTTGTAAAAGTGGCAACAGTGGTATGTATTCATCCTCTGCTGGGTGTCTTGATGACATTAGTTTATTTACATTAAACCTTTCCATCCATGGTTGCACTAATGACAGTGTTGCAGGTGGTGCAGGGTCACAGCCATAATCATATGCCTGATCCCCTGTGGAGCGAATGGTGTGGAACTGCGTGGGCGAGCTGCTGTTCAGTATTCCAGTCACGGCTCGTTTGCATTGAGAGCTGTCCAGGCCAGTCCAGTATGATTAGTTGACCACAGTAGTGTGGAGTTGCACCCCATTATCATTAAACGGTGCCAGTCATGAAGTCATATACTCCTCCCTGTCTCTCTAATTACACCCCCACTGTTGGGCTCCAAGCAATTACTGCCTGCCGCCAGAACGCTTCATCGTTCATTAGGCACAGATAACGGACACATCAACAACAAAAACAAAAGAAAAAGCGGAATTACTCATATTTCTGCTAAGCAACAAAATATCACCTAAGAAAAATGATTTTGATGTCATTATTTTGAGAGGAAACCGAAGGTGTACTCAGGAGAAAGGTGGTCAAATTATTGGAAAATGAATCACAGAGCCAAGAGAGGCCCAAGGCAGCCGCAGCACGTTGATTAATATTTTTATATTATTCTTGATATGTTGAGGACAGATGTGCCATGTCTCTGTATCCTGCCTGAGTTCAGTGTAATTCAGAGTCCTGCCTTGTTCAATTATGGCCTTATATTATACATTTTGAGGCTAACTGTATCCTCACTTTTTAAATAAAAATAATAAATGCCTGGTCTGCAGTCAAGGAAGACCTACAGCAACAATGAACCAACTGATAGTCTTAATCCAAATACTTTATTTACTTTATTTTCATTAACAAACCACATTCATCTATACACACCCACGATGAGAGAAGGGCAGTAGTTTGGCTGTTTTTTTTAACAGTTAAACTTTATAAGTATAAGTATATAAGTATTTCCCTATAACTTAATTAAACTAAGTATACACGACAAAATAAGCAACAAAGTTCAGAAAAAAAAAGAATATTTTTTGTTTGGAATTTATCACTTAAACAAACAACATAAGCAAACGACTCGACAACTGTTATCAGATTTTCAGGTAAATATTGTCAAATTCTGACTGGTGCATGAACTGAATCTCACCCACTTCAACACAGTGAGCAGAGCTCAGAGAAAAAAAAACTGTTCTAACTTCGGGAGAAGATTTTGTGTTGATATAGGAACTCAACACTCATAGTAATAAACTTAAAATGTAATGTTAACCATTTTATCATATATAATTAAACATACAATAAGTAATTTCTGCCGCTGGGGGGTCTCTCACCTAAAAAAAACAAGTTTGGCGCCGGATCATGGCAGTTGTTGTCTTCACCACCAATGTCGCCATTGCAGTCAGCTTCTCCTGGTTATCATTCCTTCTGTGTTCATTGTTCAGGAGGTTTTTTCCACAAAGGTCTCCTCCTCTCCTTTATCACCTTAAAAGCCCACCAAGCTGCTGCTAACGTTAGCTCAACTTGTTTCTCTAATAACTTAAGGTCCAGACATCCGATGTTAAAATATATAGTTAAAAACAGCCTCTATCTAAAAAGTGTATTGTAAAAATGTGGCTTAAACTGGATAAAAAGTCAGTCTATAACAGGTTCTGGTAGACAAACACAACACATTCGGAAAGGGGATATGGTGCCATTGACAGGCAACTGGTGAAGCACAGAGTTACCTGAATAAAATTACAGATTTCTCTGGGTTTGAACATTGTTGAAACATTTCGGAGCACACAACAAAACATATAACATAGGTCTAGCGTTTTATAAAACATTTTAATACATAAATGTTACATATTATTTAAATATTGGGTTTTGATCATGGAAAGACAACAAAGTGCAGAAATAACCAACTAAAGGAAACACACAAGTGCATAAAATCATCCATCAA